AGAAATCGGTCTCTGGTGAGAATTGAACCCACAACCCTATGAGCAAAGGTTACAGATATCCAGTAACTTAACTACTTAGCCATAGAGACTTAAATCTTGAACTGGCAGATTTGTCTTTATATGGATTGATATCCTAGGTATCATTTTGCTCAGACTATATCAAGATCATGGAGATGATCAGTTGATTAGTTCTCTACACTTCTTTTTTAGTACGGCAACAAAGTCAAGGCTTAAACCTTTGGTCACCGAAATGTTATAACATCAAGCTAATTATTGATGAGTTTAGGAAATTTCAAGTCAGATGGTTAAATGAGGGTTTTAGAAAAGATTAGCTAGATTTAAAAAATTGAATTCATGTTTGGATCTTTTGGAGGGACGATGGGAGGGGTTGTGGGTAGAAGGGTAAGAGGTGGCTTCCAAACATTTTAATTTTTTTATGAAATGTGTCAGAAGAGGCAAGACGGCATAAAAAATTCATTTTTCAAAAAATGTCATGAGCTATCTTTACTAAAATTCCAAAACTGGATCAAACCATTGAACTTCCAAGCCAAATCATCTTTAAGTTACAAATCATGCATTTAACAGCTCACATTTGATTAGTCTACGTGTAAAACTGCAGCCAAAAGTCATATTCATTTAAAGTTTTCTATTAAAATAAATTAAAAAAATAATTTAAAATTTTAAAACAAACCCGAGTTCATGGCTGAACAATACACAATTTATTTTTTGTTCTGTTACATCAAAACTACTTCCAAAAAGCCATTAAAACTTGAAATTTATTCCCGACAATTTTCAATCAACTTCCAGCAAAAAAAAAGAAAAACTAAAAAACCATCAAAATTTTATAGTTCAATGTTTATGGCTTTACCAAGCACAAAAACACATAAAATAAAGAACTTAAGTAGAAAAAAATTTTCCACAAAAGAAATGACAAAAAAAGCCAACATTTTCCCATCAATAAAAGCACATTAAAAATCAATTAATTTTCTGTTGTGCCGTTGCTTAATTTATCGATTTTTGGTACCCAATTTTAAATTGCATCTACCCTGATCTACCTCTTAATGAAATAAAAAAAAAAACATTTTTATTCCTCTTGTTCACAAATTTGTTTCGAGTATGTTGCGGTGAGTTTATTTTATTATCGTCTGGCACATAAACTTTTGTGTTATTTCTTTCACTTACAAAAAGTCATAAAATTTATTTTATTTTTTTTTTCTTCTTCGGTGCTTCTTTTTGCCGCTCTTATGTATGCAGATTCGATATTTATGGACACTCTTTTGTCTCTCATTCTCATTTTCTGGTTCATTATGTCAAGGTTCAACAACATTTTTCTGCTTTTTTTTATGTAGCTATGTCTAATGAAATGATAGAAAATTGAGAAATTGGAGGGGGATGACAGGTGCAGTTGGTGGGAAATACAAAACAATTACAGCTCGCAGTCGATTCGAGTTCGAAGTCGATAGGGTTCGAGTCAACTCGAATCGACATCGAGCTCTGATCATTATTGAGGTAAGTTGGGATTTCGAGGAGGGAGTGGGGGGTTATGTTGATCAGCCTCTTCGTTTTAGTGTGTGCATTTTCCTTGAGCCAATGCGCTTAAAAGTACTCTCAAATCCAGCATCATGTTAGAGCCACACCGGGTTTATGCATGATTTTTGATAGATTAATCGACTTGTGCCATTCAGGTATGAGCTTAACTAAAAATTTGAAAACCTTGAAATATTGGTGAAAATTCATTGAAAATCCATAAATTATACTAAAACCACAAATTTAAAATTCCTACTAATCTACCTGTTCCCCTTTAAAAATTAGAAGAATAAAAACGTGTAAAATAATTTTTATACTTTCTACATAATTTTTTTCCTCATGAGAATTTCACAAAAATAAAAGAAAATTTAACTAGAAAAAATGAAGAAGAAAAAATATTAAATGAATCTGTCAGATAATCTGCTAGGCGTTGATGATGATGATGAAAAAAATTCTCTTTCTAACATTCTCGTTGCTGTAAAATTTCACGAATTCCCCAAGTGACGTGAAAATGAAAGATCATGAAGATGTTTAGTCACACACTGAACACCCACCAAGTTTATTTTAATTGCTTCGTTAAATTAAAAAGTTTTTTTACACATTCATAATTCCGCTTCAGATCTAACATCTCATTTGGGAGACATTTGAGAGCATGAATGTGAAAAAAGATATAAAATTCATTCTGAAAAGCATGACGGAACTAAATGTACTCATTTTCCACGCTTTATGCTTTATGCTAGAATTTATAAGGCTGCATAATTTTGTTATGAATAATTGCAACTAGAGAAGACTAAATGTCAATGACTTTCAAGTGATTTGAATGACAAAATCTAACTTAAGTTAATCAAGAATTAGAAAATTGATTTTTTTAAACTTTATTGAAAGTGAGAAATTGCTTATTAATGTTTATTTTTCAATTTATTTTAAAATTTTTCGTTTGTTTTATGACATCACGAAGACTAGCTTATAACTTTCTTATGACCGCTATCCTTGACTTAGGTTACTTGCATGTCAAACTACTCACGAATCTAATTCTATACTTTTTTTTGTATTCTTAATTGATTTCTAACATTTGAGCATATAAATAAGCAGAACTTTTTACTCAAAATCATCATTCAGTCAAGTCTAATTAAACTTAAACATTCAAAGTCAAATCAAACTTGCCAACTTAAACTTTTAAAGATGAAATTCCTTCCAATCGTTTTTATCGTTGCTGCAATCTTTGTTGCTGGTAAGAATTCAAAATTAATCTAGTCAAATAAAGGTGGTTTCAAGAAATTCTATAGAATTTGTTGAGACTTAGGTTTTAAAGATCCATTCAATCACAAATACAATACTCTATTTACTCAAAACAGGAAGCAATGGCGGTTCTCCATCAGAACCAAAAGTCTGTGATGTCGTTCTTAAGATTGTCTTTGAATTTACTGAATTTACATCCACACTTCTTCGATTGTATGTCCTTAATGTTCCACGTAGTGATGATGATAAGGAGAAGAATATGGATGTTCTTTGTGACAAAGTTGAAAGTCATAGTGAAGTTCCTGGTGCAGATAAGGAAAAGATGCGTGGACTTTGCAAAAATGGCGATTTTGAGAAACGAGCTTGGATTGATCAACTTACTCGTGCCAATATTTGGGATTGCTTTGTTGAAATCTTCCATCTTGGATTACATGAATATTCTGCATAATTTTCATATTTTACTAGCTACTAGTTTTTAAAACTAGTTTTTCAAATATTTTGTACTTCAAATTTTTTATACTTCGAAAATAAAACTTTAAAATTAAATATATGACTTTTAATTTAATTATTCTTTGTAAAATACTTTAATACAAAATAATTTACTAATTTAATAAGCAAACAAAAGTAAATTACATTTCAAGTAGCCATAAATTTGTTTAAAGCTTATTTAAGAATCACGATTGACCTGAAAAATTCGAAGCAAATTTCGGAAAATTTTAAAAGTAAAAAATTAATTTTATTTTAAGTGAATTTTTATGGAAAAAGTTAATGCACAGCGTGTTAATATTTGTGGTTTTTTGAGCCAGGCTTACTTATTTTGAATTGTGTAATAATTCCAAAAAAAAAACAATCACGAAATAATTAGGCTTAATTATCTCCAAAATCATGTTGGTTTAAAAATGAGCTTTCATTAGTCATGAACAACATTGCTGATTACAATTCATTCCGATGACAGATTTGTGAGAGATTATCTAAGACTTTGGAACTACCTTTTTCCTAAAAAATTAAACCTTTACCTATTCAGATCAAAATGTGATCCAGTGGTGTGCTTGGGTGTTTTGCAGCTAATGAGAGTTTAACGAGTGATGATGCGCCAAACCACTGCACTCAAACCTAGACCTTCAATTTAAAGTGGGATCTGGAACCACTACTTTGATGACATTTCTGCATGTAGCCTACAAATGAAGGCTCTTAGCTTAATTTCCAGTACAAATGATTCGAAAAAAGACAAATTATAAATTGCCCATGCCTAGTCTCAAACCCATGACCACTGTCTCGCTATTGCAATAATTAGGTCCCGAAGTACTAAACCGTTCTGCCACCGAGCCATTTCAGCTCACATCATATCACTAAGGTCTTGGCTAAATGAACAAGTGGCTCAATTTCAGTGGGAAATTGTCCTCACACAAAATAAATCAATAGATAAATTAGATATAAATTTATAAAAAAATATGAAAACTTTATTTCGAAAGTAAAAAAATTGAATTACAAAATATTTGAAAAACTAGTTTTGAAAACTAGTAGCTAGTTAAATATGAAAATTATGCTGAATATTCATGTAATCCAAGATGGAAGATTTCAACAAAGCAATCCCAGATATTGGCACGAGTAAGTTGATCAATCCAAGCGCGTTTCTCAAAATCGCCTTGCTTGCAAAGTCCACGCATCTTTTCCTTATCTGCACCAGGAACTTCACTATGACTTTCAACTTTGTCACAAAGAACATCCATATTCTTCTCCTTATCATCATCACTACGTGGAACATTAAGGACATACAATCGAAGAAGTGTGGATGTAAATTCAGTAAATTCAAATACAATCTTTAGAACGACATCACAGACTTTTGGTTCTGATGGAGAACCGCCGTTACTTCCTGTTTTGAGTAAATTGATTGTTTTTATTGTGATTGCATGAATCTTTGAAAGCTAAGTCTCAACAAATTCTACAGAATCGCTTGAAACTAGCTTTATTTGACTAGATTAATTTTGAATTCTTACCAGCAACAAAGATTGCAGCAACGATAAAAACGATTGGAAGGAATTTCATCTTTAAAATTTTAAGTTGACAAGTTTGATTTGACTTTGAATGTTTAAGTTTGATTAGACTTGACTGAATGATGATTTTGACTGAAAAGTTAAGCTTATTTATATGCTCAAATGTTTAGAAATCAATTAAGAATACAAAAAGCTGTTAATTGCTTCGTGATTAGCCTTTTTTTAAAAGTCAAAAGTTTAATGAACCAGGTTTGAGCTTCAAGAACTTTTACTTTTCAATTCAAAACTTTAATTTTCTTTGAATTTGATATTAGATTCAAGAATATTATATTTTTCTAAATGTGATTAATTTGTATGAAATAATGAACTTGTGAATTATTCCCATTGATCTTCTGAATATTTTTTCACAATGTCCGTATTTAAATTATAAAATTTGATCCTCTTAAGGCTTTCAAATGACTGAAAAAAGGAGCCTTTGTTGGAAATTGTCAAATGAAAAATAGTTTTTAAAATCTTAATTTTAATTGGAATTATTAATACTCACAAATCTATTTCATCATCATAATGTCCTTGGTTTGAGCATTGCCACTCCATTTTTCTAATCATGAATTCGCCAAGCTGGCTAAAACACACAAAAGATATAAATTAGTTCACGATATTAATAATTGAAAATTTTAAAGGGGGAAAATAATTTAATTTTTTGTGCAAATCATTGACGAAAAATTGATTTTTTTTTTAATTTTTGGTCATCTAACTTCTACCACAAGGTTTCACACGGAATCTAATTCTAAACCTTTTTTGTTGGCTTAATTGATTTCTAAAATTTGAACATATAAATAAGCTGAACTTTTCAGTCAAACTCATCATTCAGTCAAGTCTAATTAAACTTAAACATTCAAAGTCAAATCAAACTTGTCAACTTAAAATTTTAAAGATGAAATTCCTTCCAATCGTTTTTATCGTTGCTGCAATCTTTGTTGCTGGTAAGAATTCAAAATTAATCTAGTCAAATAAAGCTAGTTTCAAGCGATTCTGTAGAATTTGTTGAGACTTAGCTTTCAAAGATTCATGCAATCACAATAAAAACAATCAATTTACTCAAAACAGGAAGCAATGGCGGTTCTCCATCAGAACCAAAAGTCTGTGATGTCGTTCTCAAGATTGTCTTTGAATTTACTGAATTTACATCCACACTTCTTCGATTGTATGTCCTTAATGTTCCACGTAGTGATGATGATAAGGAGAAGAATATGGATGTTCTTTGTGACAAAGTTGAAAGTCATAGTGAAGTTCCTGGTGCAGATAAGGAAAAGATGCGTGGACTTTGCAAGCAAGGCGATTTTGAGAAACGAGCTTGGATTGATCAACTTACTCGTGCCAATATTTGGGATTGCTTTGTTGAAATCTTCCATCTTGGATTACATGAATATTCAGCATAATTTTCATATGTTACTAGCTGCTGGTCAATAAACTAGTTTTTCAAATATTTTGTACTTCAAATTTTTTATACTTTTGAAATAAAATTTCAATAAATTAAAAATAAAACCTATTATCTCGTTTATTTTCTTGACCATTAAATTTAAACAATGTTAACCACATATTATTATAAATTAAGTAGCTCAATTCTGGTTATTACTTTGAAGTACATCACGATTTAATTAATTAAGAATTTTCTTTTGTTCCTTTAACCTCCTTCCAACAATTCAGGTGTATAAATAGGAACCAATTTTAAGTCAACAACATCATTCAGTGAACATCCTTCAGAACTTCAACATTTAAAGTCAAATCAACATTTAAACTTTCAAAAATGAAATTCCTTCCAATCATTTTCTTCATTGCTGCAATCTTTGTTGCTGGTAAGAACAAGAATTCAAGGAAATTCTTTTAAAATTTTACAAAATCTTTTCAACAGAAATCAAAGCCGGTGGCCCAGCAGAACCAAGCGTTTGTGAAGTTGTAGCTCAAGTCAGCTTCGAATTCACTTCATTTACATCCAATCTTCTTCGTTTGTACATTCTTAATCTACCACGCAGTGATGAAGGCTCAAGTGAAGACAAATTGCAAGGTTTGGTTTCTGTAGTCGAAAGAAATGCTGACGTTCCACAAGAAGACAAGGAAATATTGACAAAATTGGTCAATGACAATGAATTTGAAGGAAGATCATTGGCTGATCAACTTACACGTGCTAACATCTGGGAATGCTTGGTTAGCATCTTTACTGGCTCTTTGAGTGGAGTTGTGGCTTATTAAATATTTTATTTTTTTTTTTATTTTTTTATGAATTGTTGAAATAAATTTTTTTGTACGTTTTTCTTATAAAATATTTAAGTTTGTTGTTCATTTAAGTCTCCTGGTTTCTTTAGATATTGTTCCAATACAAATTTCAATCATTAAGGTTGGTTTTGATCAATTACAAGTCTGCATGTCTTTACAAAGGTTTCATGTCAATGTTTAATGTTATTCAACGCTTAATAGATTCTTAAATATATTTGATTTACAACAACAATGACAATCGAAACTTAACGGTTCTGTTTGGTACCTAAATCTATTTTGTAATCCTGAATAGAACAAGTCGGTTAATCAAATAGAAATTCGGCACCAAGCTAGCGTGACTCTGGCATGGTGCTAGACTCAAATCAAGTCCAGCACCATGCCAGCGTCATGTCAGCTTGATGCCAGATTTCCATTTGATTAGACGACTTGTGCTATTTGGGAATGTCATGCACATTGTGCGAATGCTTGTCATAAGGTGGCCTGGTAAGAATTGAACCTAAGTATTCGCAAAGTAGGGTTCAAGATTTTATAAGAGTTAAATGCCTTTATAGACGAAAAAATAGGCGTTTGGCTCAAATTCAGTGTTAAAACTCGAAGGTCATTAGTTCGAATCCAGACATTTTCAAATTTAATTCTTTTTCCTGATATTGACTGCTTAATAGACAAGATCAAGTCATAATTAGGCCTTTTGGCAACGTTTGATTATGAAGCGGATCAGAAAATTGAAGTGTAACTTGAAGAATAAGAACGAAAGCTTATAAACGAAACTTAGTTGAAGAGTATATGCTTAATCCTTCTTAGTGTCGTCAAAGTAAGATTTAACATTCAATTTTTAATTTTTAATTTTCCATAATTATTTATTAGATTTTTTTCTTACAAAAGTATAAAACAAATATATTTCAAAATTTTAAATAGCCAAAACCCCATCCAATGCACCAGTGAAGATGCCAATAAAGCAATCCCAGATATTATCATGAGTAAGTTTATCAGCCAATGATCTTCCATCAAATCTATTTTCATGATTTACTAAGTCATGCATAGTTTTCTTATCTTCTTCTGGAACATCAGCACTTCCTTCCACTATGCTGGCCATACCTAATAGTTTCTCATCACTTGAAGCTTCATCACTGCGTGGTAAATTGAGAATGTAAAGTCGAAGAAGATTGGTAGTGAATGAGTTGAACTCGTAGGCGACTTCTGCAACTACAGTGCATACTTGTGGCTCTGATGGACCTCCCGCGTTACTTCCTGTGAATTAAAAAGAGGATTTTGGTGAATTTTAAGCTCTTAAAGACTCTAAATTATTCTTGTTCTTACCAGCAACAAAGGTTGCAACAAAAATAAAAATGTTTAACAGGAATTTCATCTTTAAAGTTATAATTGGATGACTTGGGGTAGGTTTAATGAATATTCACTGAATAATATTGTTGACTTTACATTTCTGACTTTTTAAACAACGAAAATTACTGAAAGAAAATTGAATTTTTTTATAATTATTTCGTGATGAGCTTCAAATTAGCAACCTGACCTAAGTTAATTATTAAGAACACTTAGCAACCCATTAAATTAGTGTCAAGAAATTAAGTAATTGATAAGAAGTCATTCACTGGATTAAAGACCTTCCTCCTCAGAAAAGTTGCTATGTAAAATTATTTCTTTGGGTTGAACTGACATATAGTCTTTGACCTCCTCCCATCTAAGTTCGTTAACATTGCTAATTTCATTTTCAAACCATTTCTACTTTCATGAACTAATTTATACTTTTAAATCAAGTTTTTTACAATGGCTGTCAATTAAAACACTGAAAAGTTGTAAATTATTTTTGAAATGAGAAATTTTGAAATGACAATTGAGGTTTTTTATGATGTCAAATACTTTTAAGAGCTAAATGAATTGGTTGAAGGTTCCCCCCTCTTTGAAGGTTATAAGTCATTGACCTTTAAAACGAGAAAAGTAAAAATTTTGGAGCAGAGTTCTAGTGAATCCTGCACACACAAATTGTGACCAGGTTTGTTGCAGGGTACATCAGGTCTTTTGATATACTCGTTCTTTTGATTGTGGTTCTTAGGACAGACCGGAATTCTAGTCTGTGCTATGGACCGTACCCCATTCTTTTGATTCCACTATGAACTGTCCAAAGGTTTCAAGTGTGTACCACAGAGACTCTTTATTAATTGAATTCCTTTTGCAAAGCGGTTCCTTCAGCACAAAAGTCAAGAACCCAGCCTCTTTTTGCCTTTTTACCTTTCAGCTAGTAAGTAAGTTGGATGTCTTATGTAAAATAACATAAAATTTTGAATAAAATGCACTCAAAATTTCAAATTAAGGTCGCTTAAAAAGGATTCTTTTTCAAATTCATTTTGAATCCAATCCACTTATCATCAATATGAGAAGCTAACTTAAAAAACCAACAAAACTAGTTTGTAAAAAATTAATTTTTATTTAAGAAAATACAAAAAGAAAATCATTTAACAAAGAATATAAAATTGATGTAGCAAAAATAGTAAATAACAAAAAATATTAAAAAATTTCTTAATAAGTCAAATAGGAATTCATTCCTGAAGTGAAGATTTCAACAAGACAATCCCAAATATTTGCACGTGTAAGTTGATCAGCCAATGCTCTTCCTCCGAATTCATCTTCAGAAGTGATCAAATTTTTAATACTTGACTTATCTTCTTCAGGAACTTCAGCATTTCTCTGGACAATATCGACTAAACCATCCAATTTGCTACATTTATCATCAGCAGTGACTTCATCACTACGTGGTAAATTGAGGATGTACAAACGAAGAAGGTTGTTAGTGAATGATGTGAATTCGAAGCTGACTTGAGCTACAACTTCACAAACCTTTGGTTCTGCTGGGCCACCGGCTTTGATTTCTGTTGGAAAGATTTGGTAAAATTTAAAAGAATTTCTTGAAATTTTTGTTCTTACCAGCAACAAAGATTGCAGCAATGAACAAAATGATTGGAAGGAATTTCATTTTTGAAAGTTTAAATGTTGATTTGACTTTAAATGTTGAAGTTCTGAACTGTTCACTGAATGAAACTGGATGTTCACTGAATGATGTTGTTGACTCAAATTTGCTTCTTATTTATACATCCAAATTGTTGGAAGTAAGTTAAAGGAACAAACGAAATTTTTTAATTAATTATTTCGTGCAGAGTTTTAAATTGATAATTAAAGTTGGGCATAATTTAACTTTAATTCTAATTTAATTTTTTCTACTGAAAGTTTATTTTTACTTTAATTATTCAATTAGTGCTTGCTTACTTTTTTTGAGTTAAATTAACAATTAAGACTTTATTTTATGATTGTCACGATTGACCCTCAATATTATTGATTTAATTTTAAGCATAACAAATAATTTATTTTAAATTAAGGGCTGCTAATTGAAGCTACTTATAACAGCGATTCCCCTCACGAGTTAATTAATTAAGAATTTTCTTTTGTTCCTTTAACTTACTTCCAACAATTTGGGTGTATAAATAGGAACCAATTTTAAGTCAACAACATCATTCAGTGAACATCCTTCAAAACTTCAACATTCAAATTAAAATCAACATTTAAACTTTCAAAAATGAAATTCCTTCCAATCATTTTCTTCATTGCTGCAATCTTTGTTGCTGGTAAGAACAAGAATTCAAGAAAATTCTTTTAAAATTTTACCAAATCTTTTCAACAGAAATCAAAGCCGGTGGCCCAGCAGAACCAAGCGTTTGTGAAGTTGTAGCTCAAGTCAGCTTCGAATTCACTTCATTTACATCCAATCTTCTTCGTTTGTACATCCTTAATTTACCACGCAGTGATGAAGGCTCAAGTGAAGACAAATTGCAAGGTTTGGTTTCTGTAGTCGAAAGAAATGCTGACGTTCCACAAGAAGACAAGGAAATATTGACAAAATTGGTCAATGACAATGAATTTGAAGGAAGATCATTGGCTGATCAACTTACACGTGCTAACATCTGGGAATGCTTGGTTAGCATCTTTACTGGCTCTTTGAGTGGAGTTGTGGCTTATTAAATATTTTATTTATTTTTTTATGAATTGTTGAAATAAATTTTTTTTTGTACGTTTTTCTTATAAAATATTTAAGTTTGTTGTTCATTTAAGTCTCCTGGTTTCTTTAGATATTGTTCCTTTACAAATTTCAATCTTGAAAGTTGGTTTTGATCAATTACAAGCCTGCATGTCTTTACAAAGGTTTCATGTCAATGTTTAATGTTATTCAACGCTTAATAGATTCTTAAATATATTTGATTTACAACAACAATGACAATCGAAACTTAACGGTTCTGTTTGGTACCTAAATTTTTTTTTGTAATCCTGAATAGAACAAGTCGGTTAATCAAATAGAAATCCGGCACCAAGCTAGCGTGACTCTGGCATGGTGCTAGACTCAAATCAAGTCCAGCACCATGCCAGCGTCATGTCAGCTTGATGCCAGATTTCCATTTGATTAGACGACTTGTGCTATTTGGGAATGTCATGCACATTGTGCGAATGCTTGTCATAAGGTGGCCTGGTAAGAATTGAACCTAAGTATTCGCAAAGTAGGGTTCAAGATTTTATAAGAGTTAAATGCCTTTATAGACGAAAAAATAGGCGTTTGGCTCAAATTCAGTATTAAAACTCGAAGATCATCAGTTCGAATCCAGACATTTTCAAATTTAATTCTTTTTCCTGATATTGACTGCTTAATAGACAAGATCAAGTCATTATTAGGCCTTTGGGCAACGTTTGATTATGAAGCGGACCAGAAACTTGAAGTGTAACTTGAAGCATAAGAACGAAAGCCTTTAAACGAAACTTAGTTGAAGATTATATGCTTAATCCTTCTTAGTGTCGTCAAAGTAAGTTTTAACATTCAATTTTTAATTTTTAATTTTCCATAATTATTTATTAGCTTTTTTTCTTACAAAAGTATAAAACAAATATATTTCAAAATTTTAAATAGCCAAAACCCCATCCAATGCACCAGTGAAGATGCCAATAAAGCAATCCCAGATATTATCATGAGTAAGTCCATCAGCCAATGATCTTCCATCAAATCTATTTTCATGATTTACTAAGTCATGCATAGTTTTCTTATCTTCTTCTGGAACATCAGCACTTCCTTCCACTATGCTGGCCATACCTAATAGTTTCTCATCACTTGAAGCTTCATCACTGCGTGGTAAATTGAGAATGTAAAGTCGAAGAAGATTGGTAGTGAATGAGTTGAACTCGTAAGCGACTTCTGCAACTACAGTGCATACTTGTGGCTCTGATGGACCTCCCGCGTTACTTCCTGTGAATTAAAAAGAGGATTTTTGTGAATTTTGAGCCTTTAGAGACTCCAAATTATTTTTGTTCTTACCAGCAACAAAGGTTGCAACGAAAATAAAAATGTTGAACTGGAATTTCATCTTTAAAGTTATAATTGGATGACTTGGGGGAGGTTTAATGAATATTCACTGAATAATGTTGTTGACTTTACATTTCTGACTTTTTAAACAACGAAAATTACTGAAAGAAAATTGAATTTTTTTATAATTATTTCGTGATGAGCTTCAAATTAGCAACCTGACCTAAGTTAATTATTAAGAACACTTAGCAACCCATTAAATTAGTGTCAAGAAATTAAGTAATTGATAAGAAGTCATTCACTGGATTAAAGACCTTCCTCCTCAGAAAAGTTGCTATGTAAAATTATTTCTTTGGGTTGAACTGACATATAGTCTTTGACCTCCTCCCATCTAAGTTCGTTAACATTGCTAATTTCATTTTCAAACCATTTCTACTTTCATGAACTAATTTATACTTTTAAATCAAGTTTTTTACAATGGCTGTCAATTAAAACACTGAAAAGTTGTAAATTATTTTTGAAATGAGACATTTTAAAATGAAAATTGAGGTTTTATGATTTCTAATACTTTTAAGAGCTAAATGAATTGATTGAAGGTTTTGACCCCCTCTTTGGACGTTATAAGTCATTGACCTTTAAAACTAGAAAAGTAAAAATTTTGGAGCAGAGTTCTAGTGAATCCTGCACATACAAATTGTGACCAGGTTTGTTGCAGGGTACATCAGGTCTTTTGATATACTCGTTCTTTTGATTGTGGTTCTTAGGACAGACCGGAATTCTAGTCTGTGCTATGGACCGTACCCCATTCTTTTGATTCCACTATGAACTGTCCAAAGGTTTCAAGTGTGTACCACAGAGACTCTTTATTAATTGAATTCCTTTTGAAAAGCGGTTCCTTCAGCACAAAAGTCAGGGACCCAGCCTCTTTTTGCCTTTTTACCTTTCAGCTAGTAAGTAAGCTGGATGTCTTATGTAAAATAACATAAAATTTTGAATAAAATGCACTCAAAATTTCAAATTAAGGTCGCTTAAAAAGGATTCTTTTTCAAATTCATTTTGAATCCAATCCACTTATCATCAATATGAGAAGCTAACTTAAAAAACCAACAAAACTAGTTTGTAAAAAATTAATTTTTATTTAAGAAAATACAAAAAGAAAATCATTTAACAAAGAATATAAAATTGATGTAGCAAAAATAGTAAATAACAAAAAATATTAAAAAATTTCTTAATAAGTCAAATAGGAATTCATTCCTGAAGTGAAGATTTCAACAAGACAATCCCAAATATTAGCACGTGTAAGTTGATCAGCCAATGCTCTTCCTCCGAATTCATCTTCAGAAGTGATCAAATTTTTAATACTTGATTTATCTTCTTCAGGAACTTCAGCATTTCTCTGTACAATATCGACCAAACCATCCAATTTGCTACATTTATCATCAGCAGTGACTTCATCACTACGTGGTAAATTGAGGATGTACAAACGAAGAAGGTTGTTAGTGAATGAAGTGAATTCGAAGCTGACTTGAGCTACAACTTCACAAACCTTTGGTTCTGCTGGGCCACCGGCTTTGATTTCTGTTGGAAAGATTTGGTAAAATTTAAAAGAATTTCTTGAAATTCTTGTTCTTACCAGCAACAAAGATTGCAGCAATGAAGAAAATGATTGGAAGAAATTTCATTTTTGAAAGTTTAAATGTTGATTTTACTTTAAAATTTAAAGTTCTGAAGGATGTTCACTGAATGATGTTGTTGACTCAAATTTGCTTCTTATTTATACACCCAAATTGTTGGAAGTAAGTTAAAGGAACAAACGAAATTTTTTAATTAATTATTTCGTGCAGAGTTTTAAATTGATAATTTAAGTTGGGCATAATTTAACTTTAATTCTAATTTAATTTTTTCTACTGAAAGTTTATTTTTACTTTAATTATTCAATTAGTGCCTGCTTACTTTTTTTGAGTTTAATTAACAATTAAGACTTTATTTTACGATTGTCACGATTGACCCTCAATATTATTGATTTAATTTTAAGCATAACAAATAATTTATTTTAAATTAAGGGCTGCTAATTGAAGCTACTTATAACAGCGATTCCCCTCACGAGTTAATTAATTAAGAATTTTCTTTTGTTTCTTTAACTTACTTTCAACAATTTGGGTGTATAAATAGGAACCAATTTTAAGTCAACAACATCATTCAGTGAACATCCTTCAAAACTTCAACATTCAAATTAAAATCAACATTTAAACTTTCAAAAATGAAATTCCTTCCAATCATTTTCTTCATTGCTGCAATCTTTGTTGCTGGTAAGAACAAGAATTCAAGGAAATTCTTTTAAAATTCTACTAGTTCTTTCCAACAGAAATCAAAGCTGGTGGACCAGCAGAACCAAGCGTTTGTGAAGTTGTAGCTCAAATCAGCTTTGAATTCACTTCATTTACATCCAATCTTCTTCGTTTGTACATTCTTAATCTACCACGTAGTGATGAAATTTCTGCTGGAGATAAGTCAGGCAAATTAGACGGTTTAGTGGATGTTGTGCAAAGAAATGCTGACGTTCCTGAAGAAGATAAATCAATTATTTTGAAATTAGTAAGTGTTGATGATGGATTCGGAGGAAGATCATTGGCTGATCAACTTACACGTTCTAATATCTGGGATTGCTTGGTTAGCATCTTCACTGGCTCTTTGAATCAAGTTGTTGCTGGTTAAATGTTTTTTAAAGCAAGCTAGTTCGCACTGATTGATTAAGTGTGAATTTTTTTTATTGTCAAATTTTGTAAGGTTTAATTTTTAACATTTTTATTAAATATTTTTTCACATGTTAATTTTATAATTTTACAATAAAAATAAAATTACTTCTATTTTATGCTATTTAATTCAAATTTTTTATTTATTAATTATTTTTTGGTTGTTATTTCATTAGTTCAATTACTTTATGCCTTTCAACATTTTAAAATTGAAGAAAATTTGGAAAAATACAATTTTTAAAATTCACGAAAAATCAAAATTTTTTATGGAGCTAAAACTCCACTCAAGGCACCAGTGAAGATGCCAACAAAGCAATCCCAGATGTTATCATGGGTAAATTCGTCATCAAATGCACGTCCTTTATCTCCCCCTTCGCACAAATTACGCAAATTTACTTTGTCATTATCTGGAACTTCTTCATGGCTTTCTACTTCTTCAACCATGCGAGTAAGCTTCTCAGACTTATTCATGGTCGATGAATCATCGCTACGTTGAAAATTAAGGATGTAAAGTTTCAAAATGTTTGAAGTGAATGCATTGAATTCGTAGATAACGTGTGCAACTACGTAACAGACGCCTTGATCAGATGAGGAGCTCATGACAATTGCTGATGAAGATCCAGCCATGCTGCTTGATGATGAGGAGGCAACAAAAGAACCTGACGAAGATCCGATGAACATTGGTGATGATGATATACCTAAACTTAATGAAGGGGATCCACCGTTGCTTCCTTCAATATTAAATAAAGATGATCGTAAAAGACTTCAAGCTCTAGGAATTTTAAATACTTACCAGCAACAAAAACTGCAGCCACAAAGAAGATTGTTGACAAAAACTTCATTTTTGTATTTTTAAAACTTGATTTAACTTTAAAGTTTGTTGAGATTTTACTGAATGATGATTTGACTAAAATTTGCAGCTTATTTATATCCAAAAAACTTCCAAAATAATTTAAATTTCAGATCTGATAAGATTTTTTTTACTATTTCGTGAAAAACTTGAAATTACAATTTTTAAACCTTTAGAGAAGAAGATAGCGGCATCATAAATCATATAAGGTGTCATAAAAAAATTAAGAGATAAAATTAAAATTCTTAAATTTAAATTAAATGGTTTTTATTCATTTTTTATTAAAGTCGTGAATATTTTCTCAGTTTGATGTCCATAAACCTTGCCATTGTTGAGAAAATAATTTTTAAAATTTGATATTTCGCGGTATATCGTGTAGTCAAGACTCCCCCCCCCCCACTCAGGTGTTTTAGAGAATTAAAAAATCTTTCAAAGGGATGCAGCCGTACCCAAAATCAAATACTTTCAACATTCTGTTGCTCATACTTAAAACAAGAGGTTTTATTATTGCACGGGTTTTTACACAATTTCAAAAAAAAGGATAAGCAGGATTTTCATGAATATTTTACGGATTTCAAAAATTTATGTCAATAATTTTTTTTACTTTTAACCGAGAAATATGCTAAAAATTCGCCATCACGTAATACCAAAAAAAAAAGGTCAACAGTAACAACGAGACAAATCTTAAGCATAACTTAAGGGTCATAAAAAGATTTCGGATGAAATAAAATTATGAATAAATTCCTGTTCGCAGTTAATTTTTTACTGTCTCCACCGACGATACTTTTCCATCTGACCTTGCTTCCTTTAAAGCAGTTTAAAGACGTATATTTAGACAATTTTTTTTATATTTACATATCACGTAGCGCCGAAAAAAAAATATATAAACGATCTCCGAGAGAAATATAAATTATATTTATGATGTGACCTGCGTGGATATACCTATTTCATTGAGGATTTTCTTTATAATTTCCTTCATTTCAGGCAGTGTTGTTGAGATGGATTTTGACTAATATTAAGGCGTTTTGTAGGTTTATAAACAAGATGCTAATTAAGGTTGGTGGACGAGGTGGTTTACTACAGGTTTCATCTGAATTATGGTGATGTTCGGGTTCGAATCTTTCCACAAATTCGTGATTTTAAGCATAGCATTCTAAAATCAATTAAGACTTCCATCAGTTAAGACGAAGAGTATTTGAAATTAAGGAAGCTCCAGACTCGTACCCAAGGGAGGGTCATAGGGATCGAAACCACATCATTCAGTTGTTTTATTGAATCTAAATGTTTTTACACCCGGTATTAAAAGTAGCAGGAGAAAACTTTGTGGATGTAAAAGATCACGAAAAGTACTGAAGAATCCCAAGATTGGACGCTACAATCCTTAAAATCCCGAACTGGCAGAAGTTTTCAAAGGATGGAGCAGTCTTTAAGCGTGGCAATGGGCCCACGTGCGCTTAGCCAAGGAAGTAGTTTTAAATATCTCATATTTCATGGACGTCATTCATGAACATCCCGAAATACATTACTATTAAATGATAATCAAAAAATCACCCGAAAATCACTTTAAGTTCCAATTATAACCATAAACTTCATTCAAAACTAGATTGACTTCACATTCAGTAAAATATTAAAGATTAATGACCATCCATCTCCTCATGCAGTTCATACTAAAATTCTCAATTAATTCTGAATCCTCACAAAACTTTTGCCTCTTCACAACATAAACACTTGACCTACATCTATACCCGATACACTCAACAACTCTGGCTATCAACGTATAATTCATTCTCTTTAGTCCATAGTCCATGCCATTTGCTGTAATTTGTAAAAAAAAAGTAAACTTTTTCCTTATATTTGTATTCGATGTGATGCTCACAGAATTTTTTATAAGTATGAAGCCAGTTTCTTGCCGCTAAAGCATTTTGCACATCTATTAACTAAAAAAATTTGTACATTAAGCTTTAAAAAGGCTAGTTTATCTCCAATTGACCTAAATTTTGTGCTAGAAAATATTTTTCTCTGTGCACTCACAGCATACAAGCAATTATCGATAAGAATTTTGTCATGCTGTCACCGAAAAAAAATACATTTTTTGACAAGAGGTTTAGCATGAAACTACATCAATATTCCATTAAAGGCCTTTGGTCTTTAATTCTTAAAGGTTTATTGATGATGTAAAATTTTAATTGAATTAAAGAGGGGTTTTACATCTGACCGCATTAAAGTGCTTGGAAAAATTTGTGTTGAAAATATGTCAAGTCATCAAGATTGGGGTTCGTTGGCTTAGTTTGGGACGTGCAAAAATTAATTTTGTATTTTTTTATTAGCAACTTAAATTGAATTTTTTTTACAAAAGTATTGGAGATGTGTCATAGAGCTAAGAATACTTTAGAATTCAGTGGTGGTCAACCTGTGTGCCAAGATAAAAATTAGGATATTTCACGAACCGTATGCTGTGTGCAGTTTTAGTCATGGCTTACAACCAAATTTGCCGTGGCAAAGAAAAGGTTGACCATCACTGGCTGAAAACAGTGGGTTAGCTACCTCAGGTTTCCTATTCCGGAGTTCCACTTTGTTGTGCCTTAGGAGAACAGTAACTATTATCAGAGGTGAAACTAGAAGTTTTAATAAAAAGGGGGAGGAGGGGGGTCCCAAAAGTTTTTAATCAAATGTTTGTAACCGTTTTATAATAGCTCAATCTTTTCAAAATCTGTCCTTCTAGCTCCTCCGTTCCCGAGGTTAAGCTACGTAATTTTTAAATGACTCCTATCCCCTTTACTTAAACATAAGCTTTCAATTCAGCCAAGAGGATCTGGACCCCCTTAATACTTTTGAACCGCCACTAGAAAGATTCAAAATTTAATGGGGGGGGGGGTCAATACCCTCCTGGCTACGCCCCTGCTCTAATCATCCAATGAATACTTTTTTTTTTTGATTTATTTAATAGCTTTGAGATTTGTAAATATTTTAAAAATTTCATTCACTTTTTATTGCTTTTATACGTTTCATTAAGGTCAAATGTTTATTTGACGACATCTTCAAGATGAATGAAATATAAACACAGAAAAGAAAATTGAGATGAGAAGAGAAGAAAAATCTCTCGACAGTGTGCCGTATTTTCTTTTAGATCTTTTAATTTACATTTTTTTCGGCGAGAAGAGAAAGCAATAATTTATTAAACATTTAAATACAATTTTTTGGCGCATGTTTTGTGTCTTGGGAATAATTTTTGCAAAATGTAATAATTTGTTGATGCTTTAAGAAAATGATAGCCGTTTAGTAAAAAGACAGATTAGCAAATTTTCGTAAGATTTATGATGTCAGCTGAACTTTAAAACGGTCATTTGTCTCGTAAAAGTCTAAAGAGATTTAAAGATTTTTTTTTAAAGAAATTAAATTATTTAAAAATCTATTGATATTAATTTGGATTTTTTTGGTACAAAGAGATGACTGAAAATTGAGATACAATAGCTTTGATTTGAGTCATAAGTCATGAGCTGTCTGGTGTTATCCGAAGTTCTTTCCCACAAGCTCAGTCAATTCCTGGTAGCACTAGAAACCGGCCTTAGGTTAACAAGACTATCTAGGTTTGTAAACATTGCCTTACTTTAAGAAATCTCCATGTTCATCGTGTCCTAGGACGTTCACTAGCTTAGCCTGACTACAATCTATAGCAGAGATGGCCAACTTATGTTCTGCAGAAAAATGGCATCAGTGGACCAATTGGTAGAGCTTTGGCTTAACAAGCCAAAGGTCCTGGGTTCAATTCTTGTCGAAGTAAAGTTTTATAAGCTCTTTTTTCATTTCATCGTTCTAATAACGACACTCGGTTCGTGTGTTGGGTGTAGCTTTGAGTTCTTTCGCACATAACGTGTCTTCCTTGTCCAAAAGAGCTGAGTCCTTCAAGCATTATATGTATATGTGCCGCGACACACAGGTTTGCCACGAACTGTATGATGTGTGCGATTGTGCGCATGGATTACTACCAATGTGTGGCTTTTCACAAAAAAAGGTTGTCCACCACTGATCCACAGCGATGAAAATAACTTTAAACATGGAAGAAATCTCCAAGCCTCACTCAGTTCCATCAAAATTCCCATCATATTATTAATTCAAAGCTGTTAAAATTTTACAAATTCAATTAAAAATTCTTCCATTCAACCAGTCAAAAAGACTGCACATTCATCAACAGAAGATGCTTTCAAAATGAATTAAAATAAGAAAAAGTGAAGGAACGAGATTGTTTATTTAAATTTTCTTCCCTCTAAGATGATTATTTGCACATTTTATGAACGCTTCTCTCATCTTCATTTAAAAGATGCACTTTTTGAAGTCTAATCTAATTTAAAAATAATAATAAACACAGAACAGACAGAAAGATGAATGAGTAAAGTGTAATAAGTGTGATATAATCACAACAAGAAAATTATTTAAAGTCATCTGACTTCAATCACACCTGACATGTTGATAACTTTAATTTAAATTAAATTTATGATGCGGTCGATTAATGTTGTTGGTGTTGTAAAGTTGAAAATATATAATTATTTCAAACGTCGTTAATTAGATGGAAATATTGTAGGGTAAGATGCTTGCGTGGAAATAAATGTCAGAATAAATGATGATTATGGGAGATAATAAATCTATTAATAAACATAAATATAGCTGTGCATCTTTAAATACACAGTTCACATATAGCATCTGAGATGAAATAATTTTTTCAAGTTTAGTTCATTTTTATGATGCTGAATGAGGGGAAGTTGATGATGATTTCCTTGTTTTGTCGATTTGCCTGGTTTTCAACATAGTTAATTCTTCTATATTCAATAATATATTCATTAATCGATTTAATGGTGCCAGATTTTGTTCAATTGGACTTAATTTTGCCTGATATATTTCAAATGTACTAGATTCTGGCAATTTTTTTCAATTGGACTAGATTATTCCAGGCTTTTTTCAGTTGGACTAGATTTTGTCAGATTTATTTCGAATGTACTAGATCCTGCCAGATTTATTTCAAATGTACTAGGTTCTGCTAGATTTGG